GCCGAACCGATACCCTTATTTACTGCAAATTGCGTTACCCCCTACAGTATCGCAGTTTGAGGTTCGAGTCCGCTGATCGATCGCGTACCCGCACTGATTAATGCGATGCCTGCTGCGGATGCGGCGCGGCGAGTGATCGCTGTTGACGAAACCCGTCATTGATATTTTTAATTTTTTTTTTCGCGCCATAAATATTCTTGATAGACGGTAATTTGTGCGTGTCGATACACGATATTTTGTTTCATATTTTCCTTCAAGTCGCCTCAGGAAAATCGTTTATTTTTTATTGTTCGGTTTCTTACTTTTTGACATAAAAATCCAAAGTCATACCTAGTACGTTATTCAAATTTAAAATTTCTTAACATTTTTTAAACTTTTGGCGGTTTCCTCAAGTAGTCACTGAGACCTTCCATTACTTCGGGTTCAGAGGTATCCTTTTATTCATAAAATAAGAATGACAAGTGAGCACACAGTCCATCTGATGGTAAGTGAATGGTGTGGCCTATAGACATAGCTACATCTATCCTCGATTAAGAATCAAAGAGCATGAACTAAAATAAAATGCCTCGTTCAAGTAAAAAAGGTTTCAAGTGAAAAAGAACCGGTGTCCTCTACATATCATACCAAAGCAAATTTTACATTAAAAAATGTTTTTACAAAGAAATCGGTGCTAATACTCGTATATAGCGTAATCAAAGGCCGGATTACAGAATGTAAAATTATTATATTCTTTTCAGTTGAATAAAATAATTTCCACGTAATAGTTTTAGAAGTCGGTGCTGAAACATAGACGTATTAAAGCCCCAATTTTAAAAGCTATTATGTATATGTGGTTAAGAAAAAACTAGTTTTTATTACTTTCTCTTACATCCTCTTAAATGTTATAGTTTTTTTTGTATAGGTTAGCGTCATTAAATTGATTTAAATGGTGTGATATCATAAATCGACTTATAACTATTTATTTGGGTGATTAATTGAGAATTAGAAAATACATACATTTATACAAATACACAAGTAAAAATGATTATATTCTCGACGTTCATACTTTTTCTGAAAAGCCTCGGTTAATTTAATGCTTATCACTTAATTTCTTAACACTATTCGCGACAAAAGGACGAAACACGACGTTTTACGACCATTTATGTCATACACACTTTGTGAAACGTAAGAAAATCAGCTAGTTAATGTTGGAAATATATTTTTTATAAAGACATGTGATATATAAAAATTATTTTTTTATATTTCATTCTCTGTTCTCCTTTTAATACTATACACTGTTTGTAAAAATAAACACTTAGATAATTTAAGACGCCTACGTAATTCAGTGTATGATCCGCGAGTCACAGGTTCACCATTACTGCTATATGCGTGGAGAGTACACCACAACATAAAAGTGAAAGTACAATAGCTTAGCGTCAGAGACTGCAATAGCACAGACAAATGTTCTAGGCTTTTCTTTTGAAATTTTATGGATATTCTCACAATGTTTGTCTTCAACGCACCCGTGGCAAAGCATCACTTAAATACAATTAGCAATTTCATTGGTGCCTACAAAGGAAATCGAACTCGGAATTTTCGCGTCATCATGGCCCACGAATAATAAAATTCATTAATTGATTGATTCATTCATTACAGCACATAGATTGCCTCATAGCGAGGATATTTGCCATAATTGCCACGCTTGGCAAGCGGGTTGGCAACCGCATTTTTAAGTCATTATTAGGGGGACGGTGTTGCCTAACAACAATCGTGAGACGATATGAGGTAGTGGATATTCTTACACCACCAGTACACTGTTAAATTTTAATTACATATCATGTACAGTAATAAATGTTACTATTGTATTAAAATATTACGGATGGCCATTGCCAATAATTCATTAGCTAATTGACTATCGAGCCGTAACTTTAACGATATTACGCGTTGTTCAAATTAATAATATTGCGTTATTTCCGATAATAAATTTTGACAATGTAAAAGTAATTTTGTTATCTGTGCGATTGTACACAATGTAATTCAAATCCTGTATAAATTGTGAGAAACCGTCCTTATACAGAAGTTATGTCAACTTTTTCTTCAAATAACCTATAAATTGTAAAGCCACGCTTCAGCTATATTATGGTTGTAGCGCGAATGGGTCAGCTAGACCGGGGAAGGTCCACGCTCTCGGAGAATACCATCGAAAAAGCGCATTCGCATGATGCTGTGTTTCGTATGGTGGCATTCCATCTTGATCTTGATCATGCATTTTGATTCTAAAGCTAGTATAGATGTAGATGTCTATGGGCCACAGCATCCACTTACAAACAGGTGTACTGTGTGCTCGTTTGTCTCCCAAATTCTATAAAAAAGAACACTACAATACATGAAACATTCCAATAAACCAATTTCATACCGTCTAGTAAATTTAATTTTTATGCATTCATTGACTAGCGCAGAATCGTATCATCACAGCCAATCAAAATTTTATTAAATGCGGGAACGGTAATCGTTTTCAGAGTTTTTAATTTTACCAATGTAGTTGTAATGATTCAATAAATATTTCGTAAGGAATCTTAGTTCAGTTAGTAAAGTTACAGGCCATTTGTTTTATTGTGATGGAGCCATGCTGCAGCTATATTACTGGTATAGTTGTAGCACCAATGCGTCGGCTCTACCGGGGAAGGAACACGCTCTCTCAGACTGCCACCGTAAAATCGCAGCTTAATGCTGCTATGTTTCGTATGGTGAGTGTAGAGAACCGGAGACCCCTTTTACTAGAAACGGGGCATTGCATCTTAGTCCTCTCGGGTGACAACGCATCTGCATTTTGATTCGTAGTTGAGAATAGATGTAGATGTCTATGGGTCACTGCAACCACTTACCATCAGGTGCACTGTGTGCCCATTTGTCATCCTTATCCTATAAAAAAATCCTATCTTTTTTGAGAGGGTTATGAGCGATTTGTCCACCACGCTCCTCCAGTACGTATTGACGGTCCTTCACCGCGGATCATATCGTGATACGATAGACGAATGAACGATTTTGCAATGATCGAATTCGGTTCACTCGCCTACTGCAATTTCTTTGTATTTTATGCCAGTGCTTGACTATCCCACCTGATGGTAAGTTGTGATGCAGCCGGTAAAAGCCTTTTACTCTTGCCTTGAAGACACCCTCATTATAATTCGATGGAAAGACAGATGCTGGCAAATTGGCACTCCATTGCTGTAAGCATTATGAGCGATGAAGCAAACCATGTGGTTCGAATGTACGTCGAGGTCTTGCTCCTGAGCTACCCTGGATTTAATTGCTGTCTATATATAATGTTATTCAAATTTCTATTGTTAATTATATATACTGATGAGTATTTCTTATTGAAGTCGAGAGAATGGTTCTGTCAACGCGAGACGGCAGCTGAGAACGCGTAACAAAAGAGTATCATCATTGTAATATTCTTATTTATGAGCGACTTTGACCGCGCTATAACGAAAGCGATATTTTATCTCCGACATACAAAAAACAAAACACCGCACGAAGGATGTAATGGAACTGATTTTTTTTCTACAACGCGCCGCTCCTTACGGCCTTGAGACACGGCTTGATATATTTTCATAACGTGTTCGAGAAATTTAGACATGAAGGTACAAACACAAGTAAATAATGTGCCCGATAAAAAATTATGTTACACACGCATGCGGTTGTTTACGTTTATTGAGCGAAATATTAAATTTGTTTGCAAGAAAACAGCAATTCTGAGGCACAACCTAGTAACTGATGGATAAGTTATACGGTAACTCACAAGATAAGTTTTCGTGTATTTCGATAGAATGTTAATGTGAAAGCTCATAAATATATGTTTATACAAGAATACATATGAACTAGACTATAACGTAGGTCATGCGTGTAATCCCCGACGGGGTAAGCAGAATGTAAAAGCAACGAGCTACTCGGACCACGTTTAGCCAAAAAAAAGGTTAAAGATGGAAAATTGTAAAGACAATGCTAAGTGGCTAGCCCATTGTCTACACCAGGGGTCACCAAATGGCCGACCGCGGTCCAGATCCGGACCGTCGACCTATTTTGTGGGGAGCCAGAAGAATCTAAGAGTATCAGTGTTAAAAATTTGTGCTAATTTGTACAAATTAAAAGTTGCCATTTTTCGCTTCAATACTGGTTAGGTGTTTTTTGTTATTTTTAATTAGATGTATCTTTAATTTAAAAAAAAAAACTTATTAAATCTCGGTTGCTAGTCACCATCTGGCAAATGCACTACGATAGATTTATATTTTTTTTAAACGTACCCACAATTGAACTAATTGGTTATTCCTGGTCTACACCATCACAAACCCAATATCCCATTTTCTATTTTTACAAACTAGGCAAGTGACACTGCTGATACATTCTTTTTTTTAAAAGTCCCACATAAACATGTGACAATTGATCGTGTACTAAATTATAAATTATTATAATTCAACTATTAATTAAAACTAATTATTAAAGTGATTGACTATTTCATACTTTAAATCCTCGTTATAATTATTATGCAAGTTCCTTTGAAACATCGTGAGCGAGGGAAAGTAAATATGTAATTTAAAATATTATAGCTTAGGCTCAATCCCATGCTCTAAGTTCATGCTAAGTAGTTTATTGACATATACTCAGAAGAAATAAAACAATTTCTTAACTTGTCTTCATAGCGTTGAATATCATCTTAGTGTCTTAAAATTACAAAATTATTAAATTCTTGTAAAAGGGCGCAGATCGATCACAATGTTTTAAGATCCGAAACTCGGTCTTGAGTATTTAACGATTATTGAAAATGAAACAAGTTTAATAAACTTAGATTTCACGGGTTTGCAGTAGTATACGCATACCCATAGTCCTTTTTACCAAAAACTTTCTAAAGCAAACATCCTCTTGACAAACCAATGTTACTTTAATTCTTTATTATTTAATTTGCAACCCAGGTGCTGCAATTATTTAAGTTTATTCAATTAGTCTATCTTCTTTGTTCGCAGGGCGCAATGAGAGGCTCGCACAGTTCACACAGCACAGGCACAGGCTTTAGAACATCAACGGTGAGTACCATGTGATTCGTTAAGAACTCTACACCGATGCGTACTCGTTAAAATTACCAGTTCACTAACTAACTGCGCTAATTAGGCGCTAGGATCTGTGAGAGATAGGACGATGAAGCCATACTATGAGTTTTGTGATTCAGAGGCGCGTTCGATTCGAGAATAGCGTTACTTTATTTAATGTTTTTTTCTCGAATTTAGGACGCGAAATCATTTGATATTTGCAACTGTTTGTATAAATATTTTGAAAATGGAATTTTATATAAAATTTTATTTCAACATTTCAGATATATAATAACAAAAGTTTAGTGCAAAATTTAAATCAAAATCAGAATAAGAATAAATATTTATTGGCCTTTATAGCCGATTGCCTCGGTTTTTTATTAATTTTTTAGTCTAGTATTTCGTCTTTCACGGTTAATTCATTCAGTGTTTTTATACGACTTTCATATTTATGAAACATAACTCACTCTTAACACGCTCTGTATCGTTTTGTAAACTCATAGTACGTGCAGTAACTACTCTTCAGTGTACAGAGCAAACTATCTATATAATTTATACTATACGTATATCTATGTGTATACATAACAGGCTGTACTGCGTGGAGAGCTCCCCGTAGAGTTTGTAGCTTAATTGCTCTGTGCCGACGTACTTACAGCTACAAGCGCGTTTAATTACCGAACATCATGTAAACTGAATTTCGTGTAGTGACATATGTTAACTATTATACATAATCCTTTCTAAGAGTCATCAGTCTTGAACGTGCTTAGTCAGACCGAAGCTACTGTGTGTGCTTTGGTTATTAAATCATTATCAATAAATACAAAAAAGTACTTGTCTAGTTTAATCCACACTTCTAAATGATAATTAAATAAATATTTAATATAAAGAGTGAATGATTTATTTTAAAAAAAAACAATATGTTTTTATTAAAAGCTTCGAGGAGCTTATACAGGATTCAAACCTTAGTTAAAGTCATGTTATTTGACAAAACTTATGGTTTTTCTAGATATTATTCTGAATGTCAGTGAGGCATCGAGCCGATACAGAAACACAAGAACTTGTGCGGGCTGTGATTTGTGACCTGCAAACTGTACCTGTATAATCAGAATCTTATTTCATTCTACCCTCTTAAGGGCTCTCTTTAAAATCTTAACGTGGTCTAAATGTTTTTCTGCTCGATTAAAATTTTCATAAACTAAAATAATATTTACGTTCTAAAGGTTTCATTCAAGTCCATTACTCCTTATGTGTAGATCGTTCATTTTGTTTACTGCCAAAAAAAGCAACGCAAGTACACACATAAGTCATACAACGCCGAACAGCGAAGTCGTAATTCGCATTTCATAGGTATCCATGAAACGGTCGACGTTATTGTGAAAAACGGTGCCCCACAATTGGAAGCGGGCTCGATTGCTCGAAGCGGTCACTTGTAACTCTTTTACCCGGCTCTTTGTTCTAATTGCACCTCTATGCGGTGTCCGCGCTATGTAACGAACTTCGCAAATGGCCTTTGTTGTTTTTTAAAAGTTTCCCAACTCGGTTCTAACTGTCGCGTTCGGCGTGCGCTTGAAATTTTTCACTAAGTTGAAAGTTGTTGGTATTTTATTTTGCTTCGTGTGTTCGTGGTTACAAAGCGGATTAACGGGTACTTAAATTTCGAAGGCATTGCAATATTTCGCCTTTATTGCCATTATTTTAAGGTACAGATTACTATAAACAAATATACAAGGTTTCACAACTACCTGGTTATTTTTTTAACTAAACGAAGACTGTATTCCTACCTAACTACAACTTATGAAAAGTCCACTGCTGATCATAAGCCTCCCCCATTGATTGCTTCATAGGGAGGACATTTACCGAAGTAGCCACGCTTGTAAGTTGTTATCAAGGAGATGATGCTGCTCATTTGTTTAATTTCCTTTTGTGGCCTCTTGCGACAAGTACGGAATGATATGATGTAGTAGATTCACTAAAGCTACCACTATACGGTGAAAAATAGTATAAAAATTTACGACCATGCATTGCCATCTATCGGTTTTTTCTGACATTAACTGTAGTCGCCTCTTATAACACCCACGGGACAAAATGGGTTGATAGATTCTCTTACGATATCACCACATGGCAACTATATACATAGTATGGTAATTTATTTTAATTCTTTTTCATTTACAATATAATCACAATTAATTACTAACAGTACTTTAGTCGTTATTCGAATGAAAGCAAACTGAACTCTTGATACTATCATTGCCCGCTGGGTTATTAAATTTAACAACGTATGCGGTATATTCGTTATCGACTGTCATTACTGGTGAACTACGAGAAAACTAATTGAAGCCGGAGCTATGCTCTAAGCGAAATCGCAAATGGTGGAACTGGAAAGGGAAATAAAAATTCACGACAGACCACGAACAGAAGTAGTGACGTACAGTGACAGATCACGTCAGGATCTCGATCTTTTTTTAATAATTAACAGACCAAGATCCCACCTATATATCATACTAGGTGTACCCGCGACTTCGTCAGCGTTGCATACACACATCACTGAACACGGTAGTGCTTATAAAAATCGTTATTTCTTAAAAATGTAATAACTTTATATTAAATGAAGATATCGCTATAATTTTAAATATGGGCCAATTGTTTAAGAAATAAAACTTAAAAAACCTAATTGAAATGTATGCAGTAGTTTTTCCGTGATGCCCGCACAACTGCAAACCTCTATCGTTTTATTTATATAGATTTATTAAGAAACCGATATATTAAAATGTAGGATTCAACATTTTACATTTTTACAATTTGCCACACATATAATTAAAATGAAAAGGGCTCGATTTAAACTTTTATGTTACGCAAGCCGATCCCCATTGGCAAAAGTGAAACAATGTGAGAAATCCTGAAAAACTGAGAAATTAAAAATACCTATTTTTTTTATAGGATAGGGTGACAAACGAGCACACAGTCCACTAGATGGTAAGTGGTTGCTGTGACCCTTAGACATCTACATCTATCCTTGATTTTGAATCAAAATGCAGATGCGTTTTCACTCGTCAGGACTAAGATGAAATGACTCTTTTCCAGTAAAAAGGGTCTCCGGTCGTCTACACTTACTATACGAAACACAGCATTGAGCTACTATTTTACGCTGGTAATTTGTAAGAGCGTGGTCCTTCCCCTGTCGAGCCCACCCATTCGTGCTACAACTACTAATATAGCTGAAGCATGGCCTTACCACGTACAAAGCACAACCAAACCAAAACCCATTAGGGCACACTGTAATAGCCTCTCAGAAATCAGGGCTTATATCCAGCAATGGGACGTACGAGCATTATTAGCTTCCACTTTTACATAAAAATTGGCTTAGCTTTTAGAATGGCAACCCCGAATATTGGCTTTATATTTTTATAGTAGAAAGGGTATGGGAAAGTTGTCTCAAATTGAGTGTGCTTCATAAAATGCTTCCAAAATTTGTATTAGCCTATATTTACAGCGGTTTTTTTTTTTGTAAATATCATTCTAACATTTTAATTTTGTTCTGACGTGTTATATTCTTATTTTTTTTTTTATTGACAATGAGAGGAGTGATGAGTTTTAATAGTGTAAGATCCCAGAGACACCAGACGTCACTTATGGGGATGATTGATCCCTTGCATCGGTCTGCCTTCTTGTGAAACGTTTTAAAATAGTTGTCTGGTAAAAATAGAGCTTCAGAATCTAAGTAAAATTGAGCAATTTTTTGAGAGCTTTAAAGCGCCTGCAAAGCGATACTGTCGTCGGAAAGTGTCTAGGAGTATTGATGACTGATTATTTAACGATATTATCTAACATATATGTAAAAATCAGCTAGGAGAATAAATGTGACGTGAAAAATATTTTTACGTACCTTGATTACCTGGAAAATGGCCCACTGTACATATATATATAGTACATATTGACACTAGCCAATCTTTCACATTTCGTTCGTCAGAAAATAAGTAACGTCTAGTGGCCCTGTGATCTTGCTCTATAAGTCGTTTATACCTTTATAGGTATAATAATCCGTAACTAAACATAAAGACTGGTTTTATTGTACATCACTATTGAAGTGCTCGCGGCATCTAGTCGTGAATCATTACTCATAATTAGCCCGCGCAAACTTAATTTACCTTCGTCCCGAGTAACGCAGCCGGAGTTTTTGACGCAATTCCATTTCGTTAGGCTGCTATAACACAGGTAATTTCCAACTTAAATGCTAGTTAAGATTATCTTATTACTATTAACCTATAACTATAATATAAATTAAGGTACTGTGGCTAACTTTCATCCGTCAGTAGTCACATCCCAATCAACCGTTTTAAATAGCAGAACTCTAGTATTATGCGCCTTACATAAATATGCATGGACAATAATTTAAAATTAAAATATTTGTACAAACGACTTCAATAAAAATTATTAAGAATAACTCAATAACTATTGGTCAGACCTTGATCTCTTGATCTGAATTAATACGGGACCACATAGAAGCACCAGACTCCAAATAAAAAAGAAACATCGAAATCAGTTTACCCAAAAAATAGTTATGAGGTTATCATGTAAAAAAACATACAGTCGAATTGAGTACCTCCTCCTTTTTGAAGTCGGTAGAAAACATAAAAGTCTACAAATGAGTTCCGTCATTAACTCTGTTTACTGTGATGATTTCTTATATAACGTGTTATTTTTAATTAACTTCTTTTATATTCCCGACGTTTTGAGTACTTTGCAGCACGAGGGTACAGAGAAGTTCAACGCCTACTTAAACGACAATAGATAATCACGGCAGCTTTCAGCTTAAAATATAATAATATTTTGGTCCGATCTACGCAGAAAGAACTTAACGTATCTTGAAGTGTTGCAGTGATACCCTTGGGTAGGGGTCAATTTTATTATCTGTAGAATCCCAAGAAGATTGTAGCATCCAGCTTTCTTCTCTCCTGATGTTAAGATGTTTCTTTTTAATTTCAATAGACTATTTATTT